ATATAAAAGCTAAACGGCTGCAGTACAACGATTCTCATCCGTCCTCATCTGGTGACATCGACAAACGAATCTCTTCATCATATACTTTCCTTCGAAATGAAGGTCCCCCTAACAATGGTTTTTACTTCACAACGGCCAAGACGACCTCGACTTGGGGATCAAAGAAGAAGGAGACCAATGACCGGTGTATGAGATACATCAGTTCACTGCTTTTATCTTCTATTTACGCCATCTTCTACCACTCCTGATGCAAGCTTTTCTGTACACCCACCAAAATGGCGCTATTTTTTGGCCGAATGTATTAACCCTTGCTGGCCGATATCTACCGTCTCGCTCCCTCTCTCTCTCTCTTCTCTCCCTCTGATAGTTTTCTCTTCACTCTGACTCGACTATTTCAAGGGAAACCGAGTGACGGGATTTGGGATAGTAACCGAGCCGAGTTGAACACTTGACCCACTTGTTTATGCCACTGTTCACGTGTCCAAGGCAGCGAAGGTACGTCATCTGCCTGTTCCTACGGCACTGTTTACTCTGCGGTCGCCAGGCCTTAACGATAGGCCCGAATGCCGAGTAATGTACCGAGGCGGATCGGACGGAGACGAATTGAGCTGAAACGAGTCACGGCGTTATGTCTACCAGCGCATACATTTCCTCTAGACCTCAAGACATCGGCTCAATTAATTCCATCGTAAGGTTGGCCACTCTTTCAGCATTCCTTGCAGACACTTCACACCCACCTTTACTGTCCGGCAGCGGAGGCATCAGGTTGTCTGTTGGTTTGTCTGCTCGGGCCACTTTGTGCCAACCGAGATAGCAACTGCTACTGTTACTACGGCCATCTTTGTTATGCATAACAGTAGTGGCTCATCTTCACCGTCAGAATGACGCCCACAAAAGCGCATATTGTCGGCGAATCCCGCCATTACACGGTATCTACACACGGGGATTGTGCGGGTGGTAGGTGCAAATGCTTTGGAGAAATGGGCAAAAATGTTGACGCTTTGTCGACTTTCTCGAGGTGCTGTGCAGCACACGTGATCATACACGTGACCTGTCAGATCAATTGTACTAAGTACATTGGCTGTCTTGCTGGAAACGAAATTTGGGACAATAGCACACTAGCAACTATCGGGATACGTGTCAATTGTTCCCATCATGGCTGCATAGTCAGGGGAAAACTGCATTTGCTGCCAGGTGGTGATGATAATTATGAAGACGATGATGATGATGATGAGAATGAAAGTGATGAGCTGATCGAGTTATTCAATTGTCCGTCTTACACTTGTTCCGAGATATCTCAGAATTTCGGTAAAATCTGAGTAATTTTGGAAAAATTTTCTAAATGTGCCACTACATTTCGTTGGCTTTTCCTTTCGCAAATGTTTTGCCCATCAGGGTTTGACTACAGATTCGAGGTGGCAAAATCTCATCAACGCTATCATTGGGATTCATAGTCCTGGTACTGCCGATCGTGACGATAATTGACAAATTTGTTGTTCAAAGGTGTGAAGAATAACTGGGGTTAAAAGAATTATTTAGTGATTTATCGTGATGACATTCTAGTTAGTAGGAAACGTTGATTGGAAAGAAGTAATGAATTGGCCTCACCCGAAATTGAAGGAGGATTTGAGATGTATTCACGCTATTTCGTTTAAGGTGATGAAGGACATTAGTAGAATTTCCCCACAATGTTATGAGTTGAGCTGACGTTTCCATTCAATTTCACATAGCCTTGCTTTCCCAAAAGTTGTT